TGATCCTAAGGAACACTATGCCAAGCAACTACTCCAATTTGTCTTTCTACATGGAAATTATAACCTAAGAACCAATATTTAGCAATATCATTTTTTGCTTGTAGTAGTCTGTCCATTTTTGCATCACCTAGTTTAGCAAAACATCTTTTTAACAAGCTTAACAGGCCCGGGATATGCAACTTTGTGATTTAGCATCATGACTTTTCTTCAGGAAGAATAAATGAGAAATCTGAGGAGTCCCCCATGAGCACCTCTTTCCAGAACAGAAACCACTGCTGGTTTTCCCAAACTATGAATGGATGAGGTCTCTTCAGATCAGTGCTGAATTCCCATCTCCACTGCCATTATATCATGAATATCTGACACACAGGTGAGTCTCAGCTGTGTGTCTCTTGATAGGTTCTCTCCTTTTCCCATCTGCCCCTCCGCTGACAAAGTAGAGCTGTGAATGAGAAGATAGATGTGACATGTGTATACAATGTTGTTCTGCCTTAGAAAGGAATGGCATGCCAGCCCTTTGCAGCGTGGGTGGGCTCTGAATACAGTTTGTTAAATGAAATAAAGCATGAGTACTGGATGAGTCCACTCACTGGGGGTTCCTGGAGCACACTGTGAACAACAAGACAGGAGGGAGAACATTGGTTTACCATTAACTGGGGGAGGGTGGGTTGGGAATCACTGTTACAGTGTTCAGAGCTTCTGTCTGGGATGAGGACTTGGGTCTGGAACTGAGCAGAGGTAATGGTTAAAAAACACAGGGATGAGCTTAACGCCCTGAACCATATCCTCTGAAATAGTTAAGCTGCATGTTTGTAATCTCACACACCTTTGATTCCAGTGCTTGTGAAGCAGAGGCACAGATCTCTGTGAGTTTGAGGCTAGCCTGGTCTAGGTACTGAATTCCAGGCTGGTCAGGAATACAGTGAGATCTTTTCTTAGATAAATAAAAATTTTTTTTTAAAGTTAAAATGGTCATTATTCTGTTACATATGTTTTTAACAAAATAAAAACAACTGGAAGTAAATTTGACCTCTTATTTCTTTGTTCAGAAATGTTCATAAAACATTTACAAAATAAGACTCAAATCCCTTAGCATTGCATTAAGCATCCCTTGGGCTTCAGGTCCAACTGACCCTTCAAAAGTGTCTAAGAATGCCGACAGCTCAGCCATTCCTTTCCACCATACTGGCAAAGTCAGAGTCTTTGAACCTGGTCTTGGTTGGATAGACTGTTCCGTGGCTCTCAGCTCCTTTCAGCTTCCAACACATGTTCTTGTCTTCCACTGTCTTTTCCTAGCTATTGAGACCTCTCTGTCTGCTGACAAAGCCAGATTCTCTGCAAGGTCTCCACAGTTGTACCAAAATTAATTATACACTTAAAGCTGGTCAACACGAAGCGTGCTTGTATTTACAATACAGAAGAGAGTGAGGTAGAAGGACTGATGGATTGTTGTGAGTTTGAGGCCAGCCTTGTGTGCACAGTCAGTACCAGGTTAGCCCTAGTTACGTAGCAAGACCTTGTCTAAAATGTAAATAAAATAAAATAAAACAAAATATCCCTAAAAGGTAGTTAGACATGCTATAGACGCTCTGGTCCCAGTGTGTCTTCTTCAAGTTACCCATTAACTCTAACTGTGAGTTCCCAGGAGGCACAGGCGGCTTAGGAGGGACAGGCGGCTTATCACCTATCTTTGCATGCATGCAGAGGTTATGGGGCAGGGTTGTCTTCTGATATCTTACCATGCAATGACAGCTATCAGAACAGGGACTAAGGAGGGGGAAGTGAAGATCCTAGGGCACAAATTTTACATACCTCTGAGAATGTGTCCTTTGAGTGTGATGTGCTTAGGGCCCCCCCCCCCCCATTTCACTATACATGCACCCTTGTGAGCAAGAACTCTCCTTGATCTTAGCAAGTGCCTACTGTGGACGTTATCTATTATGGTTTCTCCAATTGCTTCAAACTGTAGCAGCTTTAAAAAAATAAGCATTTACAAGTGAGTATATACCATGTGTGTCTTTCTGCTTCTGGGATAGCTCACTCAGGATGATCTTGTCTAGTTCGCACCATTTGCCTGCAAGTTTCATGATTTCTTTGTTTTAATTGCTGAATAGTATTCCATTATTTGATGTTCCACAATTTCTGTATCCATTCCTCAACTGAGGGACATCTGGGTTGTTCCCAGCTTCTGGCTATTACAAATAAAGCTGCTACAAACATGGTTGAGCAAATGTCCTTGTTGTATACTTGAGCATCTTTTGGATATATGCCTAGAAACGGTATAACTGGATCTTGAGGAAGCACTACTCCTAATTGTCTGAGAAAGTGCCAGATTGATTTCCAAAGTGGTTGTACAAGTTTACATTCCCACGAGCAATGGAGGAGTGTTCCTCTTTCTCCACATCTTCTCCAGCATGTATTGTCACTTGAGTTTTTTTATCTTAGCCATTCTGATGGGTGTAAGGTGAAATCTCAGGGTTATTTTGATTTGCATTTCCCTGATGACTAAGGATTTTGAGCATTTCTTTAAGTGTTTCTCTGCCATTCAGTGTTCATCTATTGAGAATTTTCTGTTTAGCTTTGTGTCCTGTTTTTTTTTTTTATTAATTACACTTTATTCAGTTTGTATCCCCCCTGTGTGTCCTGCTTTTTAATTGGATTACTTGATTTGTTGCTTTTTAACTTCTGAAGTTCTTTATATAATCTGGATATTAGCCCTCTGTCAGCTATAGGGTTGGTAACAATTCTTTTCCAATCTGAATAAGTGGATATTAGACATATAATATGAAATAATCATACTAAAATCTGTATACCTAAGGAAGCTAATCAAGAAGGAGGACGCTGAGTAAGATGCTCAATCTTCATTCAGAAAGGCAAATGAAATGTACATCGGAAGAGGGAGAAAACAGGAAACAGGACAGGAGCCTATCACAGAGGGCCTCTAAAAGACTCTACCCAGCAGGGCATCAAAACATATACTGAGATTCATAGCCGAACTTTGGGCAGAGTGCAGGGAATCTTATGAAAGAAGGAGGAGATAAAAAAGACCTGGAGGGAACAGGACCTCCACAAGGAGAGCAACAGAACCCAAAAATCTGGGCACAGGGGTCTTTTCTGAGATTATACTCCAACCAAGGACCATGAATGGAGATAACTTAGAGTCCCAGTTGGCACAGATGTAGCCAATGGCAACTCAGTGTCCAAGTGGGTTCCCAGTAATAGAAACAGGAACTGTCTCTGACATGAACTCATAGGCTGGCTCTTTGATCACCTCCACCTGATAGGGGAGCAGCCTTACCAGTCCACAGAGAAAGACAAAGAAACCAGTCCTGGTGAGACCTGATAGACTAGGGTCAGATGGAAGGGGAGGAGGACCTCCCCTCTCATTGCACTTGGGGAGGGGCATTAGAGAAGAAGAGGGAGGGAGGGCAGGATTGGGAGTGGATGGGAGAGGGGGGCTACAGCTGGGATACAAAGTGAACAAACTGTAATTAATAAAAATGCTGAGCCTGATGGCCAACTGATGGGCAGAGTGAATGGAATTTTATGTAAGAAGTGGGAAATAGTAAGAGCTGGAGGGGACGGGAACTCCACAAGGAGAGCAACAGAACAAGATAATTTGAACACAGGGAACTTCCCAGAAAATCATACTCCAACCAAGGACTATTCGTGGAGATGACCTGGAACCCCTGCACAGGTGTAGCCCATGGCAGTTCAGTGTCCAAGTGGGTTACATAGTAATGGGAAGAGGGACTGCCTCTGACATAATCTGATTGGCCTGCTCTTTGATCACCTCCCCCTGAGGGGGGAGCAGCCTTACCAGGCCACAGTAGATGACAATGCAGCCACTTTTGATGAGAACTGATAGACTAAGATCAGAAAGAAGAGGAGAACCTCCCCTATCAGTGGACTTGGGGAGTGGCATGCATGC